AAAATATTTGTTTGATCCATTCCAAAGAAACGTTTCTTTGATTCGACAAATCGTTCTCTCTGTGTATGTTTCGTACAACATACTTTCGCATTATCAGTCGGCGCAATTTTTTAATTTCACTATTTTTTTAAGAAAACTTTTTTTACGGAATTAAATATTTCCCTGAATATTTTTTTATATTTTCTAGAGTTTTTTTAGAAATATTGTATTTTGGAAATATTGGAATTTTTGTGTTCAGTTTTTTTACAATTCTTTTTATACATCTAAGAATAATTATCTTTGACTTTGTTTATGTTTTAGAGTCTTTTTTAGAAGTAAGAATATTGTATAGAATTTTTGTATTGAATACTTTTACAATGTTTTTACAAATTTTTTTATGAAACGAATGCTGTGTGTGCGCGCGCGCGCGTGTGTGTGTGTGTGTGTGTGAGACGCGTGTACTTGGCGCCTTTTTTTTTTTAACGATGGACATTAGTGGTCGGCACTAATATATTCCCGCGTCTCATTAATTTACGTATCTCACATAATAAAACGTAACCAACTGCGTATAACAAATTAAACATAAATCGGATAAGAAATTGATGAAACAAAATAACAAATCATCGTGTATTAAATTTATTTATCACATATTTACACTTCAAATAAAATGACTGCAATCATCACTCCAAGTAGCGAAATATTTGCAATCCTCTTCTTATTATTTCTTCAAGTATGATATTTGGTAACTTCAGTTTCTCTAAATCCTTTTTCGTCAATAATCTGTTCATTGTCATATTCTTCATAACAGTATTCATGGACAACAGTTGTAAAGAAATATCTGGCGAAATGCAGAAAAATATATAAGTAACAAAATATCGGCCGCAACTGATGAGTTGACATAATATTGATTTACCGGAGATAAGTGGTGTGTACGAAGTTAGCTTTATTCTATCGCTCTTTAGGATAGAAATATATACTTCTTCTTGATTGTAAATACTCTATGACATTTTATTTGTTTATTGAGTAAGTGTACATTTATTCTTGTCGCATAATGCTCGTACAATATACATATACTCCTTTTCGGGGACCTTTAAAAATATTCTTCTAAGTTATAAAGTAATGTAGTAATATATGGATACTTGTTTATATCTTCTTCTGCTTCATCATGTAGAATCTCATAAAGATACTCAGGAGCTGAAACAATGAAAGAATAATGTTTAATTCAGCGAAGTATACAATGCGCTGCCAAATACTAAATACTAAATACATCTGATTTGTCATCCATATATTTGTCATCCAGATATTAAGATTTTACAGTAAATATAAATTTGAACAAAAAATTGTCTATAAATATGGGTCGAAAAATGCTTCCTTAAAAAATTAACGTCCCAAAATCACGGTTTTTATACATTTTTGCAGATAAATAGAGAAGTATGCGTTGCTTTCTTTCAAAAATATCAAAACAAAATTTGTAGAAAATTAAATTATCTTTCAAATAAGATCAATACAATTGTAATACGTTAGATAGGTTTTGAGATAACCAGTTTGAAATATACAAAAAAAGTTTATTTCGGATAGTGCTTCTTAAAATACTCTTTATTTATGCCATCATAGTTATAGTTTACGCTGTAAAAAATTAATTAAAAAGTACTTACTGTAATAAAGTTTCACTTGAAGATGCCTCACTTGTTTATCGTGTCTGAATTTGTTACACATTGGATAAATTTTTTTGGTTTTAATTGAATTTAATATTTCACTGTTATTCATATTATTTATATTAAGATATTGACTATTTTCTTTAGATTGAGTGAAAAAAATTCTCAAATCTTCTTTAAATTCACAACACAATGGCGAATATTCATCGTCGGAATATAATCCGTCTTCTCTTCCCTCTATGTTTAAAATAAACACCTCGAATAGATGTAGCGGCTTCAAGCGAATAATATTCGGATTTCTGTTCTTTTCCCAGGGATGATATTCCAAACCGGAATGTATGTTCAGAGGAATTTCTTCGGCACGATCCATGTTAGTTTGGAGATAATGGTCTACGACAGGTATCGAAATTTTTGTCACATTTCGGACTGATTTCAGACGCGACGCCCACCGCTGCCCACTCTCACTCGAACCTCAGCGGCCGAGCCGCCGATCGCTCTGCCTCAGGAGCGTTGCTGAGTAAGAAATACATATGTAGCGCTTCTGTGTGTGCCAATCCGTTATTAAAATTTTTACTTCTTCAATATATATTTTTACTTCTTCAATATATATATTTTTTGTAAATAATATAATGTTACATTATTTATGTGTAATATATTGTAGATACACACCCACACACACCCATATATAACGTTCTTCTTTGAACGATGTATCACTGTCTTCGTTGATGCGAGCTAGTTCTTTCAAAATTTCTGTGGATGTATCATTTTTAGTACAATCGTGTAAACGATCTAGGAAACATTAAGATTGGCTTATTTTTTTTCTTTTGTTATTAGAATTTTTTTT